CCTTTTTACACAAATGGACTTACCCAGTATATACATATAATACTGCTACGTGAAAACCCAAGAGAGAAGAGTAAGACGAGAGCAAGACGAGAGCAACAGAGGGTAAAGGTATCAGACAGACAGAACGAACGTAGCGAGCAAGAGGCACCGTGAGCAAGCACGTAGACTCAGTAAGAATTCATACGGCGATACTTCAATACCAAAGACTGTATAGATATTTTGCTATTAACCCGTATTCCCTGGAACTATTAACCTGCATTACCAGTTTGTATTATTACGTTAATACATTATTTTCCCATATTCGTTCTTGGCGTTTGTTATTTATTGATTCCAGATTTCAACCCGGAATCCACAACAGCATCCCAATACAATCGCTGTGGAAAAGACAATAGGATAATACACCACTATCAGTCCCAAGAAAATCCATGGCGTTGGCCAAGCGAAAAATAACAGATAATTGCATGAATGGATCTAGTCTCTTAGAGATGACCCCTTGCTTGATAAGACAACAGGTGTAGCATCACTCTCATCCAATAACAGTTTGTTACAGACATAGAATGTAAGAACATTACATCAATGCCAATTAGAAAATATGAAGCAAAAATGAATAGGTAGCAAACAACGGGAATTACGTTTTACAGCAAAGACTTGATAACACCAAGACTCAATGCAAATAACAGGAAAATACTATCATCATGTGAGAGCTGAATGCCAAAATAGGAAAGGAACAAGAAGGTAAATACGTAGTTTGCAAGTTAGGTTTGTGACGTTCTTCCTAATATCAGAGCTTCTTCTGATTCATGCTCCACCAATTGCCACCACTGGCCGGGTGTTAACGCTCTGAATACCCAAAACTGAACTAAAATTCCGTCAACTGCGCAAGGCTTCGCTTATGACTTCCGTTTTTACTCACACACTCAAAGAAAAAATAAGCAATACAATCCAGAATTTTCACCCATTAGCACCCACTCTCTCCTAAACAAACAAAATAAAAACCGGAGCAGATATTAGCCTAAGAAAGAACATAAAAGCCCATCTAAGGGACATTTTCGGCAGTTAGACGGCAACTGGGTCCGGGTTCACAGACGTCGTAAGAAAGTGACACCCTCCCCCCATCTCCAAGGGACAGCTCGCCAAAAACTATTGCCCCAGTAAGTCATAACTCACCCGCCCTCTCTTTCCGTATACCTCACCGGCCGCCTTTTACAACTCCACTTTTCAACAAGAGACATCTACACTGATTTATTATTTGTTATATTTTTATGTTACCACAATTGTTTATTTCTTTAAATTTTCTTTGTTATGTCACCATACGCTTATCCTAACAGGTCCAGCGGTGCACAGCCAAAAAAAAAAAAAAAACGATAAAATAACTAATACCTGGTTTCCAGAGCATCCAAGTTGCATCAAAAATCATACAGACTACATAAAATCATCAAAAATCATACAGACTACATAACAGTCAATAAAGTCCAGAATGTAATTTTACTCTGTAAAACCTATCTAAGTGTCTACTGTGGCTCCCACTACCTTAAACTTAGAATAAAATTATGGAAATTAAAGAAAACTAAAGCAATGCCTAAACCACAATACAGCAAAAAACTTAATTTGCAAAGAGATGTATGCATTAAAAGTAAATATGATAAATTTGGATGAGATTGGAAATAAAAAGCATTGTGAAAGAAGCAATCTCGATCACCCTAAGGAAAGTGAATGAGAAAAAAATGGTGGGTGACAGATGAAATCCTGGAGATTATGACAAAGCGACAGCAAACAATGTCAAGTAATGGTACAGAATATAGAGCATTAATGACAAATTTCAGGTGCGCAGAGATAGAAGGAACGAGTATCAGGGATAAGGCAGATATGTATAAAAATAACAGAAACGAAGGCCTGATCATTGATAGTATGCATGAAAATTGAAAGAGGGAATGTTCATAACAAAGACAAATACTTCAAAATATGGAGTAAATAGTTTTGAGAATTATTTCACAACAAAAGAGAGAATTCTGCACGGAACAAGGACAAATTGAACAAGAACAAAGCAACATGACAAGATGTGATTGTAATAAAGATTTTAATAGCCTTAGATAATTTTACCTTCGCCAAGATCACAGGAATAATAAATGAAATATACAACAGTGGCGACATAGAGGAAGATCTTAGTAGATACATCTTCATATATAGTCTAAGAAGCCAAATGAACGCGAGATCCATCGGGCAATCAGTTTAAAGAGCATAACTAAGCTCATTATTCTGTTAATCAGAATCCAGATTCTGATTAATAGAACGCGCAGCAGAATTAGACTAGCAATAACACTATGGCGTTGTTAAAGTTACCGAAACAAGTAAATTGATATTTATGATCAGAATGAGTAATAAAAATGCGGAAAGAGGTAAATCTATGTTTCATAAACTATGCAAAAGCATTTGATAAGGTCCAACACAAAGATCTATTTGAATTGCTAGAAAAACTTAATTTGAAATAATATATATATATATATATATATATATATATATATATATATATATATATATATATGATAGAAGAAAAGGACAAATAGATGACGTTTTTCTAATATATCATCAAACCTAAACATCACAAAAAAGACTTAACGTAGAACATACCATCAAATTCACACATGAGCATTAAATTAACATTTTACCTTTGTTTGACATGATTTTAATAATGTGATACCTACCGGGGCGTTCTGGGTTCGACTCTTAGTCACTACCACCAATATGTGACCCGGTCGATCAGCGGTCATCGCGACCCGGCGGGATTCTTTGGTCAGGGTTCCAAATGGGATGGTCGGTCGAGTCTAACGGTACGAATACGTAAGGGCTTCACACCAGATGCAACCGGTTCGACACCAGCTTCGTCGTTCTCAGCTCGCTTCCAATGGCTCTTTACAGAAGTAACTATCTTGATCTCAAGTCTAACCTACCGACGTTGAGATTTTGATCTTAGGTTGATGAGATCAATCAGACATCGGGGCCGTAGTGCAAGGTGAGTCTAAACTGGAGGTGACGTCGCATAAGCAAAAAGAAATAAATGAAAACCAAAAAGGTTCGGGTAAGTTTAAAGAAAACAAATAAACTTTTATCAGTCTGTTCTATACAGGAGTGTGTTTTCTTCCCAACCCATTTCTTCTGAGAGTGACACTATTATACTTCCTAGGCAAGTTCTGGTCTTCTAAGTCAACTGGTTTAGTTTTTAAGTGCTGGCTTAGCTTCGTTCGTCAGTATAAATTGCTGTTTGTAGGAAGGCAAAGTCGGAGGCAGGAATCATGGAATATATCTGTCAGCTCTCTCCAACTGCAAAATGCGAACTCTCTGGCTCCAGCGTGCGAACTAGCGAACTGCCCGAGGGTGCTCGCTTATATGGACTTCAACCAAAAACCGGTGCGGGGTTAGACGCAGCCTGGGGTTTTCAGTGAATCCCCGATCTCCAACAAAGGTCCCTTTGTTGTCTGGCTAGGAAAATTAATTACTTCTCATTTTTGGAAAATTAATTACTTCATATTTCTGGGGGGAGCAGGATAGCTATCCTCCTAAACTCCTTAATCCTCACATTGGTACCTCACACCAATTCCTCTCCGGTGTTGGCGTTAGTAACTTCTCCTTCTTTCTTACTATTTTACCTCCGCCTATCACCACTGCTACCACAAGACCAATGGCGTCTCGGTCGTACTGGTGTGGCTAAGCTTGCTTCGTTAAATAACTTTTTAGCACGATTGCTCATTTAGGATTTCTTATCCATGCAGTTTTAGAATTATCAACTGGAATTTTGTTTACACAATTCCTCCTTCGCGCTGCCAAAATTCTTACAATTAACAAATGGCCCTATTGCCTGGCCATTTCCTAATATCTATGCATTCTCGAACGATATCTTCGTCGCTTCTGGTTACTTTATGTTTTCTTAACCAGCACTTTTAACGGACATCATTAATCAATTGTCAGAGATCGCCACATCGCCTTTTCGTGAAATTATCGTTGACGCAATTCTTCTGTTTTTTGAGAAAAACAGACTTTTTGGAAAAGAAAGTCTTTTTATGTCGAAAAGAAGGGTTAAAAATTATCCCGAAGTTAATTACCATAGCTAAATAGTGTCACGTAAGAAACAAAAACAAATTAGATTTTAAAGTTTACAGAAAGCCAAGTAATAAAAATGATTTAATCAATTTCTATTCCCACCACCTCAATAAAATAAAAACAGGACTAATCATAAGTTTTTATATTAGAACCTTTAAAATATGCAGCCCAGAACATGGAAGAATAGATTTACAGTATAAAATGCAAGAAATGGTATATTGGCAAAATTTTAGAAATTTAAAAGTCTGCATAGACTTTAAATTCGCCTGTAATATACAGACATAAGACAAGACCATGATATATATCTTGGAGAGGAGATGGGCACCGACAAGCTATCTGAAAACCCAGTGAAAGTATCATGAAACAGAAGAATCAAAGTAACGCCATGCCGGAGTTGGTGAAGCCCGAATCAACAACACACACGCGTCCCATTGACTCAGGATGGGCGTGAAAAGTGTGTAACTGGAGCGACAAACACCATCAAGTTACCAACGCAAGGTACAACCATCGGAAAGTGTAACTTTCGCAGACTCTATACCTCGAGTCTCGTCTCTATTCGTGTATCAGCCAAACCGTACAACATGATGGCCATCCTGGTTATACCTTAACTTCAGACCACGATAATGAGGTAGTCGAAATGTTTTACGAGTACAGAGAGTCCACAATAGTGGAAGTCCTCAAGAAGTCATCGCCATTGTACAAGGGGATTGGAATGCCAAAGTAAGCCCAGGCGCATGCAGAAACAGCCGGGAAAATTGGCATCGGGGAGACCAACGACAGAATTTGCTAGAAGCCACCGTTTTCACATCCACTCCCATAAGCTGTTTCGAACGACAAACTAGCAAACTAACGGGCAAGTTAGTTCACAAACAGATTGAATTATTCTTGTTCCGCAACGCTTCAAGTTCAGCGTCAACAAGACGAAAACAAGGACATTCCCTGGCAGAGAGATCAGCAGTGACCGTGATGTTGTGATGACAACCTTCTATCTCTCTCTGTAACCTGCGTTTGGCAGACAATATCAACTTTATGGCTGACAGTAACATTGAGCTGCAAGACCTGACCAACAAACTTGTTGAAAGAGCTCGTGCATATGAAATGGCACTCAGTACAGAGAAACCAACGTAGTGGTGATCAGCACAAGCAAAACCAGTGTCAGTGTCACTATGGACGACGAATCACTGGTGGAAGTGTCCAGCATCAAATACTCGAGAGCAACCCTGTTAAAAGATGGCACATGCAATACAGAAATCCACACACGGATCTCCACGGCCACATCAGCGATGGCCAGACGGGATAGGATATGCAAGAACATCATCAGCTTCCAAACCAAGTTCAAACACTAGAAATCTCTGGTCGTATTTTTTTGCCACTGTGTGAACTGTATCTTGATTGTACCACACTTACGTTAAGTTCATTGATTTTACCTTTTTTTTTTCTTACGTTCTTCATGGACTGCTTTTTTGCCAAAAGTTTGATTTTTCTTTTTTCCTTTTTTCACCCTCTCCCATTTTTTTTTTTTTATCTTTTATACCTATACTTTTATTATCAGATTTTTGATTTTCTTTTATATTAAAAGTTATTTTTTTAATATATTTTTCCATTTTAATTTTCTGTTATCCCCCGCCAGACTTTTATCTATTATTTCTATTGTCACTTCTTCCTTTGTTTTCTTTTTTCCCGTTAAATATTTGTTAAATCTTCTGTGGTTTTTATTTTCTAATTTAACTTTTCGTGTTTTATTTTGTCTAATCAGTTTGTTTTATTTCTTAATTTTATTTTCATGTTCTTTTGTCCAGCCGTTCTTATTGTTAAGACTTGTTTTTTTGCTTAACTTTGGCCATTTTTGTTATTTTAGTTGTAAGACTTGATAATTTTTAAATATTTTGTATCTGGTGTTTGTTCCATTTGTTTTAATTTTTTGCTGTTGTAATTAAAAAAAAAAAAGAAAGACCTTATTATACGTTTAATTTCTTTCTCGTTTGTCTTGCCTTTCCTTTTTTAAATAAAGTTTTGCTCATCTAATTGTTTTTCTTTTCATTTTATCCTGTTAAATTTGTATTGTCGGTTTCCTTTTTCTGTTGAAGGAGTTTTTTTTATTTACTTGTATTTATCTTTTCTTCTTTGTATTTAATTTGTATCATTAAATTTTATCTATAATTTTTTGTTCCTTTCTATTTAAAAGAAAATGAAAAATCCCCATTTTGTTTTAAAAAATATATATTTAAAAGAAAAAAGGAAAAAAAAAAGGAAAAAAAAGATTGCTTAGTATTTAAAATTTTATCTATAATTTTTTGTTCCTTTATATTTAAAAGAAAATGAAAAATCCCCATTTTGTTTTAAAATATATATTTAAAAGAAAAAAGGAAAAAAAAAGATTGCTTAGCATTTAAAAAGGAAGAAAAATGGCCAACAAAAGCAAGTCGGTGGGAAAAATTTTGGGGATCTAAAAAAAGAAAGACCCTCTCGATAAACAAAAAACAATTGAAAATATCGAAGAATCTACAAAGTTGGATGAAAATAAAAGTATGAAAGCTGAAAAAGGCTTAAATTTACAGGAATGCAGCGTCCAATTGGATAAAATAGGCGAAAATAGCCAAAATTCTGTGGATAATAGCAACCAGAAAAAAGAAGTACGGTGGGAGAAAAAGGCCATAATTTTAGGAACAAACTGAAAACGACAATGGAAAAAAAACTAAAGACGTGAATGTAGCGGTCGGGGCGACGCCCTCCAGCTGAAATCTCCAGCGAAGTTTAAAATCAACATTGCGGAGCTCCTCCAGATGGCTAAGAGCTACGCACATCTTGTCACAGAAGATGGGCTCTTGGCTAATCCTTTTTAACTGCAGAAAGTTGAAAAACGAATTGTGTCAGTCTTTGTGGTAGACAAGCGTTCGCGCAAAATTTGTCGCTCCACAAAAGACACCGTAATTAAAATCATTGACATCCCTGGGGATCAAACCCCAGCGAATGATAAAATAAAAGAGATAATGTGGGACGTACTGCTGCCCACGCCCGCCGACTGTGAGGCTTCCTACAGTCGGGACCCAATTACGAAGGACCTGATTTTAAGAACAGAATGTGAGGACAGGCGTCGGACCAGAGTATCAGTATTTGAGGTCTCTCCTCAGATCATCGGGGAGCACTTGGTCGCTTATCGGTGGCAAATCGAACAGATACTTTCAGATAACTGAAGATTTGACCAGGGGATGGAGCTAATGATCGATCGAAAGTCCTTCGTCTCCATCCCTAACTGCCTAGATGTAGAGGGCCAGAAAATGCCGGTCATTTGACCGGCCATAGACCAACGTGTCGAGAGACTGGTCACCTCTCCTCTTCCTGTCCAGAGAAGAAGGCCTCTGGAGATCTGGCCCCCGCCCACCTAAATCCCCCTTTGGTCCAGTCAGTTCATTCTGTCTCGCCTGTATTGGACATGCCAGCGACTGGGACCGGTGTGGTAAAACCACCGGTTGGGTCTATCTCACAGCCCCTATTCCCCAAAAGAGGCTTTGGCCGCCGTTCGTACGGTTGTGAAGAAGGAAGTGGGGGAATGGCAGGTCGTTGGCAGGGCTAGAGGGAAGCTCCGGGCATCGGGACCTCGTTCCACTGAAGCCCCTACGGATATTGACATACACAGACCCACTCCAGCTACCATTTCCAAGGGCGGCTCTCCGACCAGCTATACCGATTACCTAAGAAATCAAAAACTTAAATGCGTACCATCTTTTGAAAAGGCAAAAAAGCTGCAGCAGTTAAAAGAAGCCTTGATGGCGAAACGTCAATAAGTTGCTGGAAAAGCTGACTCTTCTTTCTCGGCACCATCTTCCCCTAATGCTAAACATCATCATATGGCTCTACCACCCATGATTAAATCACTAACTCCTACTCTTTCCAAAATGACCATTCTCCTATCTCCAAAGTCCTCAGCCAGCAAAAAGTCTACCCCTACCAATGCCCCTAATCCATCCTCTGCCATTACTCCCATCAGCACACCCCAAAAGAAATCTGATAAACCAAAACGACAACGAATTGTTTTGGTTGAATTTTCATCTAAAAAGAAATCGAAAACTGTCTACAATACTAGAAAATTTTCATCTAAAAAGAAATCGAAAACTGTCTACAATACTAGAAAACCCTAACCCTGGCCTTCAGCGTCTCGGAGTGAATGTATGTTGTGTACAGGAGACCCGGTTTTCTACACGCGATTATGAAGGCATTCTGTCTGGGGGGATGTCCCTCTATTCAGCATGTTTTGATGGACGCTCGAGAGGTGTCTTTTGGCTGGTGAGCAAATCTTTGGAGGCTGCGTATGCTCTTGTCTTCGTAGATTTGGCGAGCAAGCTTTGCGTACTTGATGTTATCATAAAGGATAAGGCCCATCGTCTCATTGGGGTTTATGCACCAATGACCATTCTGAATGGCCTGATTTGACGTTTTTGACGACATCTCGTCGGTTAGATTTAGCGGGGGATGGAATGCCGTCCTTGACACCGACATAGATTGTATAGGGTCAGATTCGGGTACTAACATTAGGGACCTGAAACCATTTCGGGATTTTATCGATAAGTTTGATCTCGTCGATAAGTCCTGGAATGAACATCCTCGGGAGGTTTGACAAATAGGGACTCACCACGACGGCGTTCTATCTACCTCGACCGAGTCTTAGGAGAGTCGATGTAAGGCTCTTAGGGTGTTCAAGTTTTCACTATATAGTTTATTCCGATCATAGGCTCGTCCGTGTCCGTGTGTACTTAGATAAACCTAAGTTTAGTGTTGTGTCGGAAACCTACCACCCCTCTTGAAGATGAACTTGACTGCGTCTGTGAACAAAGAATTTAAATAGTGGTATGTCAGTTGACATGAAGGGAGACAGATAGACAGAGAAGTTCTTAGCTGAGCTAGTTATTGACTACTCAGGCGATTTCTGTACCTTTTTTTACCAACCTATTAAAACCCTTTTTATTGTTACGTGTTATTTGGCGTTTGTCTCTACTAACCCCAAATCAACATCATAACAGTTAGGATGACTGGCTACTGGAAATTGAACTCATCATTGTTTTTAGCCAAGTTCTTAGCCAAACATTTGCAGGCTGTCCTCTCTAATCTCATTGACTCCGAAGAGATTTATGCTGTGAAGGGTAGGACTGTTCAGGACAACCTTCATATGGTACGCTTGATCATGAAGCAAGTTGACAGTGAAGCCACGCTGATCAATTAAGATCAGTCCAAAGCATTCGATACGGTTGACCATCGGTTCTTTCGGCGGCCGGTTTCGGGCCGTACTTTCGCACCTGGGTCCGACTTCTGTATGCGTCTTCCGGTGCGCTGGTGGAAGTGAATGGGGTACGATCAAAGCCTTTCGTATTGTCTCGCTCCATTCGTCAACGTTGTCCGCTTTTGCCTTTGCTTTATGTTGTTGCGTTGAAATCCTTCCTTCACAAGTTAAAGACGCATCCGGTCCTACGCGGAATTTCCCTACCTGGTGCTACCACTTCGGCCAGTTAATTTACCTATGCTGACAACGTTTCGGTTATTGTGTCGAGCAGAGCAAAGAAATCAGAGGGTACGAGACTGTGACAAGTGCTAAAATAAGGCGTTGTCTCGAAGGGCATTATATCATGTGTTAGGGAGTCCGTACGAGATGATCTGATTTACGAGCTCGGACTTAAGAGGAAGAGGGTCGCTCAATATGGGCGCCCGGATTGAAATGCCTCAATAACGATGAGGTATCACTCACCTGGTTAGTGATTCGCATGGCCTTCTGGGTCGACAAAAGGCTTTGTTCGTAGGCTTGAAGAAATCTCCAAACTGTGTTCACTGTGATGTGGAGATGGAGACCCTAGGTCATGCTTTCTTTCATTGTAGGTACGTAGTCCCGTTGTGCAAGTTTATTGAAGGTATCATGGTTCGCAGGCTGCGCTGAAAGTTCTTTGTCCTTGAGGCCAGTTCTGTCTGTAGCAATGTGGTACCGCCGTTGACAAAAACTGAACCCTATGTATTC